GATCTGGAAGTTGTTCCAGATATGGATAAGCCAATTAAGCTATACTGTGACAACAGTGGAGTGGTGGCTAATTCAAAGGAACCTAGAAGCCATAAGAGTGCGAAACATATAGAAAGGAAATACCACCTGGTCAGAGACATTGTGGATAGAGGCGATGTAGCGGGTCTGAAGATCGCGTCAGAGGACAACCTTGCTGACCCGTTCACCAAGACATAGTCATTGAATATATTTGATCGGCACTTAGATGGATTTGGGATTAGAGACATGACACACCTGCTTTAGGACAAGTGGGAGATTGTTGGGAATAGTGTCCTAGAAGCATAAGATGTAAAAGGATATTTATTACTTGATTAATAAAAGAGTTTATTCATCATTGTATGTGCATATATTTATGAATATTTTATGAATATCAAATAAAATTCCTTAATTATTTATGTAACCTTAAACATGGTATATAAGTGTTGTATACGAGGAGATAATATTTAAGGATAATAATCAAAAGTAATTGTTCATAATGAATATAATTAAAGTTCAGAATCTTTAATTAAAACATTATTAATACATGTCATTCCCATTTAGAATGGAACGGTGTTATCCGCACTGTTAATATGGCGAAATATTGAATGAGTGTATTTCGCATAATGAGATTATGTGGAACATGGACGCAGATACAATATGAATTTCTAATAATTTTCGTTAAGCATAGAAATTCTAATTGAGTCTACCGATAGTCATATATAGAATGATCTTAATCCTGAGTTCTTAGCAAACTCCTATTTATGGATTTATGTCTTTTGATTTACTCGGTACGGATTCCGAGACCCTGAATCCTATTCCTTGTATTTTGGAGACATAATGAAATAGGTAGCTTGGAATGTTATTATACGAGATGGAATCCATTCCTTCTTAAGAAAGAAGTACATAAATAATTCTCTTGAGGGTTGATTCGGTACTTGGACCAGTAGGAGCTCTGAGGTTCATGAATGTGTTTTATGAATCACTATCCATTAGAGAATCAATGGTACTCAAGGATGCAGATATAATTAGAGAGGTTAACGGATTCTACCTGACTCTAATTATGAATTATTTATGGAGGATTAATCTATATGTAATGACTATATTAAATGGACACTTCCCAGTTTAGAAGTAATTAATGTCTATAATTTCGAGAGTTCAATTCCAAGTTTATAGTGGAGTAACTATTGGAATTAATAGAATTAATTAATTAATTAAAGTGCTTAATTATGTAGTGACCAAGAAAATCTCAGAATTTTTCGGGATTATAGGTCCATTAGTCCCCGCGTCGTCCTTGTAATTCTACCAGACACAATGGGCAAAATGAGAATTTTAGAATTACGGAATTCTAAAATTAAATACTCAAAAAATAATTAATTGAAAATTAATTATTATTTAAATAATGTGATTATTTAAATTTAAATTTGAACACATCTAGATTTATCCATTTAAACTTATTTGATAAGTTGTTCAATTTAGAATTCAAATTAATTTAAGTTTGACTTAAATTCGAATTTGAATTTGAATTAAAATTGGACTATTGGATAAAGGATAAAATCTATTCCTTCCCTATCTGTTGTTGGCGCCACACACAGGGTAAAACCCTAAGTGTGTGGCCGGCCACCTTGTGGATAAGGGGAAGGGATTTTTTGTTCCAAAATTCAAATTAGAGATAGGGATTTGATTTTATTTTAAAGTTTGACTTTTACTCTTTAAATATGAGAATGATAGAAAATTGTGAATATAATTTTTGAAACAATTTTTCAGCCCTAAAATCAATGGTGGCCGAATTTCTCAAAGAAAAAAATATACCAAAAATATTTTTCTCTAAAAATTCCACATCGTGCATGCGTTGGTGTTTGTGGAAATTCGAGTGTTTAAGAAACCTGTTTTGTCTCATGTGTGCCTACACACACGTCTACGTGGAATCAAAGAATTGACGTGGAAGACTTTGGTATTCTAAACACAAACTTGGAATAAGGACTGTTCGTGGTCAAAGAACTCAAGTTATCATCCGAGTCGGCTTTCAAGTATTTTTCCGGATTGAGTTCTTGATATGTAAATTAATGCGATTAATTTATTCGTGCATAAATTAATATAATCTATAGAGTATCTCAAAAGTTTTATGAAAAATTTTGTTATACACGATCCGCCTCTCCCCATGCTTCCGCACCCGAATTCGATTCGGGAACCAACAGACACATGGTTAGTTTTACAGAGTTGAGAAACAGAAATGAGGTTCTTTTTCATAGCAGGTACGCATAGCACATTATCAAAGTAAAATTGACTATTATTATGAGACAGTGAGAATGAGCCAGAGTGAGTAATCGTCAAACCGTTGCCATCACCAATCACCACATCATCAATTCCCTTATACGGAGTGTGTAAAAAGAGATTGGATAGGTCCGCCGTTATATGATGAGAGGCTCCCGAGTCAAGAAGCCATTCAAAGTGAGACGGAGTCATATGAGTGGCAATATGAGCACTAGGTACATTGTATGGGCGCTGTACGGTATAGGCCGGCGAAGAAGCGGGAGGCGCGGGAGGTCGTGGCTGAGGTGGCCAAGGGACACGTTGCAAAAAGGTGTAGTGCCGAGCGGAGTGGCCTTGCTTTTCACAAAATTGACAACGCCCTAAATAAGGCTTGTTTGGACGCTGTGGATTGGTGCCGGATGGTCCGGGTGATTGGGCCTGAGGAGAGTATTATCTTGGTGAATATAGAAGAGCTACAGGCTGTGGCGGCTGGCGATGAGGATCGCGGTAGTTGGACCGGGCAGTGGGATTCACCGAGGTCGGATGTGCGGTGGCAGGGAGATGGGTAGCGCCGGTGGTGTTGTTGGACTTGTTTTTCCGATTGGCATCTAACATGATGAGCTTCTCATGTAGTTCTTCAAACATGATCGGAGATTCATGTGCATGAATCACGTTTACGATTTCACTATAACTGTCATCAAGGCCGTTGAGAACCTTGAGGGTGAGATCCTCGATGTCCATTGGCATATTCAATAGAGCCAATTCATCCGCTCTACATTTAATCCATTGCAGAAATTCAGTGATGGATTGAGTACCTTTGAGTGGGTTGGTCAGTTGACCTTTGAGCTGTGTGATGCGTCTTCGTGATGGCTTTGCATAGGTATCGGCAAGGATTTTCCAAGCGTCGAACGATGTGTAGGGGGTGGCGATGAACAGAATAAGTGATGGTGAAAGAGAGCCAATAATTGCATTGAAAATCAATTGATCTTGCCGAATCCACAATGAGTACTCGGGGTTGGGTTGTGGCGGTGCAGCGGCGGCAGTGGTTGTCGTGGTGGCCTTGAGAGCGGGAGGACATGGTCGAGTGCCGTCGACAAATCCCATGAGATCATATCCGATCAACAAGGTGTGAAATTGAAGCCGTCGTGAGACATAGTTGGTGGCAGTGAGTTTGAGCGGTGCTTGTGCCGCCACATTGAATGAAATAAGGTGACTACCATGGTCAAGAGGATTAAACACAGTGGGACGATAAATGGAGGAAGTGGCAGTGTTTGGTGAGGAATCAGCCATGGTGAGAAAAGAAAGAAGGGGCTGAAGTTTTGAAGCAATGTGAGAAGGAAAAAGGTGGGCGACAGATGCTTTAGGCGTTAGCCTCGAAAGGCTCTGATACCATAATACAATAGTAGAGGATTTGATAATTTGTGCTCAGCTTTTCATTAATCAGCTGTGGTATTTATACAAGAGAAATGGTAAACAAAATCTATAAATAAGGAAACAAAACCTGTACATATCAAGTAATAAAGGAAAAGTTGATTAGAGAATATATATACAATTAAGCCTAGAGATATGCACACACTATTCACACGCTATTAATTTCGCTGCGGTTTGGACTGGGACACATGATTCCGGCGATGTTAAGGTTGTTTCCGGCCGGTATAGTAGTGACCCACTCAATTCTGGTGATATTATGGTTAGGACATGAAAGTTTGGCTCAAAACTTAGGGTCGGTGGGGCTGAGTTTCAAAATTCCAGCCAAATGAGAGCTGGGTCACGTGTTTCCGGTGTGGTTAGGTCCGATTCTTGCGTGATTGGGTCTGGACTGCGTAATTCCAACATTATTGGGCCTACTTCTGGCTCAATAGGGGTTGGGCCTAAAAATTTTAGCGAATAGGATTATGTTAGTAATTAGTAATCAATATAATAAGTGGTTAGTAGTTTGTTATATTTGTTAAGCTAGTTAGTAGTAGTATATAAGGAATAGAAAGAGACTAAAGGCAAGAAATTGATTAGAGTAAACTGAGAAAACTCTTGGGAGAACTAGTAAATCTCTCGAACGTCTATCAATCTATCTTGTAATCGAGTCTAATTATTGTTTTCAATAATAATTTTTTCTTGGTTCTTATCAGAACACTCTAGAACACTGACGTATTCAATTCAATCTTTAAGTGCTAATGTTTTATGAAAGGTGCTCTGAATAATCAATGTTCAACTGTTTTGTTCCTAAAGCTTTTATTGTAATATAAAACTGCTCGGATATGATAGATGTGGCTTATCAGTTTTGATTTTTTTTTCGTTGAATAATGTCTTTTCAATAGTAATTATTGAAAGTAATAGGACAGGATACAACATAGTTATCCTCTTCTCCACAAACAAAGGACCGCCTCAAAGTCGTGTCCCTATATCATTAAATTTGATCAGATTATTTGACTTGCCCTTTCTTGTGAAAGCTTCCAACCTCAATCAACTTGGGAAGAAGACTTGAATATTTTTATGTTGTTTCTTTTCTAAGAGTATTTTGATCATTACTTGGTTACTTCCTAGTAAAAATCCAATTTTGAAGAATGCTTTACAAATGCAAAACGAAATTTCTGTCATATTAAACAAAATGAAGAAAAACAAAAAAGTGAGATCACACTCGGATAATAATTGTACAAATCCTCAGCTACCTTAAACAGAAATTCACATATTGAAAGGAAACTATATATAGATTAGAATTCCTAAAACCAAACAAACAAGCATGATATACTTAACTTGGTAAGGTAAAATTATATTCTGTCCAAACAAACAAGCATAATATACTTAAATTGGCAAGGTAAAATTATATTCTGTAAAGTGTTACAAAAATTCTCATTCCCATTTGCACCTAATCTGGCTAGTGTGCCTAAAATCATGTGTCAGTAAAACACTTCCATCCATTCTCTTAAACACAAACCTCTCCACCAAAACATAACAACCGAACTTTCTCCACTCACCTTTCCCCTCAAACTCCTCAGTCCTTTTCACTTTCACTTGCCTTTCAAACTCATTATATCTAAACCCAACTCTTTCTTGTTCCCATCTCATTCTCTCCACAACCAACACATTTAGCCCAAGTAATCTTGAATCTTGTCCTTCATTATTTTGAGCACTTCTAAACCATATCACCCCATCATCAACACGTCCCCAATCACACACAGCCTCCTTCTCATCAACACAAGCCACTTCTCTATCAACAACAACATCTACATACACAACTTTTTCGGCATTGTCACATTCGAAAATCTTGTCCCATCTCTGCTCGAGTGTCACCTCATAAAACATGGATTTCTTCATCTGCTCCTTCAGCCTTCCATAATCTTCCTTCACAAAGACCAAAGGGGTGTACCATTTTCCCACCACCACGGTTTCTGAGCTCAAATTTGACGGGGAGAAGTTGAAATTAGGGAGTCGGGCTCGCAGGGAAGAGTCGAGCCCCGGAGCTTCGTCTAGTTGGTAATAGCGGGGTGTTCTCATGTAGACTTCCCAGTATTTTCTCCGCAGGAAATTAGGAGGAAACCCGTCCTGTGCTACTGACACGGCTGTGAAGCCCCGGTGCTTCTTGTGATTGATCTGAACTTGCTGATAAATGTCCAAAGGATCCAATGGTCTTGGCTTAACATCTTTAATATATTTGCAACAACAACATGTTCCCATGTCCTCTTCCTTTGAACTGGCACTGGCTTCCCTATTTAAGCAAACATAGTATTTATAATTGGAATTAGTATGATGATTACAGATTAATTCTGAGTCCTGCATGCTTCAATTAATTGTTCTTTTATTTTCCTAAAATTCCTATTATATCATGTCATAGAAAGCAGCAACAAAGACATAATGACAAACACATGGATAGCAAATTGGGCTATTCTAAAGATTTGGCCAGAGTATAAGCAATTTATAATAGTACCATTGACAAAATTAGAGCAAGTCTTCCTTACATCCATTTACAACAAAAATAAGCTAAAATTAAGTAGTAACTATGAAACTGTCTTTGCTAATTTGACCGCTTTTATGAATTAATTAGATAAACAATCATTAAGGCCTTAAAACATGACTTTGTACATACCCTTTATGTTTTCCTTGACGCCGGATTACATAGTAGAGATTGGAAGACAAAGGCTGATCAAGCACAGGAATGAAAACTACACCATCATAGTAAGTCTCAGAGTTCTCTCCAACGCCTGTTGAATAGCGAATGGTGAGGTCCTTGTTCTGAGGGAAAGGCAGGCCTCTGATTGAATTGTCCTTGCACAATCCGAAACAAGTCGTCGTCTCACATTCCTCATCGAAAATCACCAGATAACCGGAATTCGGACCCTCTTGCGGTGCCAAAGTGAGCAGCTCAGGTGACCTTCTAAGCAATGACAGAGGCCTTGTCACATACATTTTTAAAAATAAAAAATAAAAACTCTTTGCTTTTCTGTTCTTTCCTCTTGATTTTAACTTTTTCTTTTCTTATCTGTCTCTGTTTGTTGGCCTAATCTTTCATGTAGATATAAGAAATGTCAACAACGTGTTTATACACGTTCAAAGAATCTTTGGATGGACTTATATGTTCCAAGCTAATAATGAGTCTTAATAAACAAGGTTAACCACTAATTATTGTTATTTAAATAATGATAACGAAAGTGACAGGAAGATTGACATATCGGATATATATACAAACTATCAAGCCGCAGCTGGCGAAAGTTCGTCTTCACGAAATATCTTGATGCATCGTGACATAGGTTTTAGTTTATAGGTTTGAACATTTTTATTATAGTATTTTTCTCATAAAATTTAAATTTTTGTTCAAATTTATGAACTAAATTGGCCAATAATAATCGGTAACCTCGCAGTCAATGAACTGCAAACTGTTGTCGTTTTCCAAATATGGGATTTCTGAATTGTTGTCGTTTTTCAACTCTGTCAGCCAACCAATTATGCTCGTTTTCATGTTAATGTCGTTTTCATTCTCTCTCTCGATCTCTTGTCGTTTTTATTTTTTATTTTTTATTTTTTGCATTGTCATTATCTTTTCCAAGGTGTTTTTCATTTACAAATAATGTCTTTCTTATTATGTTTCTCTCTTTTTATCATCATGATGCCAATTTCCCATTTTCCCATATGTTCTACATAAGTTAATTGCGGTGATCATGTTCATGTCGTTTGATTTTTGTTATCGTGTCTATGTTATTGTCGTTTTGTTAAGCTGTTGTTTTTTTTTTTTTTGAAAGCCCGAACTTTTTTTATGGATAATGTTATTAAAAATACCAAATGGAGCTTTTTTTATTTTTATCTCTTAACATTAATTCATATTTATTTTATTTTTTAAATTAAAACTAATTAAAAGATAATTTTTTTTAACAAAAGATATTTTTAATAAGTTACTATTTAAAGGGATAGACTTTGAACTTTTATCCGTAAATATCGCTGTCCATTTCATGTCTATTAATTGTTGATTGACTATATGACATATATATGGCCCATTGACAAGGAAAATAGATATAGATTGACCGGGACAAAGCTTATACCGAGATTTAAGAAGTAGACGTGGCGTCGGTTGCAAACGTTTGTTGAAACCAATATCTTTTTCCAGGTTGGCTGTTTACAAAAAGAAAAGCAAATAAAGAATAATCATTCTCATCTTCTTCGAAAACATATAATAATCGGAACCAACTTTTATATTCCCTTATTCTTATTTCATTTTATCTCTCCCTAATAATATTATGATCAATCAATTAAAATATTTTTATCACGTTAATTAAAAAATCACGACGTATCATATTATTATTAAAAAAACACGAAAAAAAACAAAAAAAAAGACATATGAACTCATTCCATAATAATCTTTCTTATGTTTGCAGATAGATGATCTTATAATTAAAAAGGATAAATTACACTTATCCTCCCTGAACTATTAGTCTCATAACAAAATACCCCATAAAATTTAAAAATAACAAATTTTCTTTCTAAATAATTCACCGTTAGCACGCGTCCCCCTTTTTCGCCATTTTGATTAAATTTTGAACATTAAGTGACACGTAAAAGTCATTGAGACATTTAAGGCTTGTTCTTTTAAGTGAAAAACTCAAAAAAGCAACTCGAGTTACAACTTTATTTCAGTTCATGTTCTTTTAAGTTTAAACTCGAGTTTAAACTCGAGTTCAAACTCAAGTTTAGGACTAAAACTTGAGTTCAAGTTTCCCCTTCAACTCGAGTTCAGAAACTCAAACTCAAATTAATGAACAATATTTTTCTACTCTTAAAAATGCTATAACTTTTTCGTTTTAATTCTGATTGAGATAATTTTTTTTTCTATGCGTTGACAACGAAAAGACGAATAAAACCCGACCCATATACCCTATTAAAATTTTTCATCAGCATTGAGTTTTTATTAAAATACTATCTAAATACAAATTCAAGTTTTGACTCACTCAAACACAAACTCAAAAAGATTCTTATGTCAAATCATAACTCAAATGTACACAACCAAACACAAACTCAAGTTACAAGTTCAACTCAAGTTATAACTCAAATTCAACTCAAGAATTATACTCAAGTTAAACTCTAAAATAACAAGCCTTTAATTTTTATTCTATTATAGAATGACGATTTTGCTCATCCAAGCCCAGCCTAAGACCACTACGAACATATGACGATTTCCCTCTCCCCCTCTCTCCCTCTCATTCTTGCTTCCCCTCTCTCTCTCTCTCTCTCTCTCTCTCTCTCTCTCTCTCTTTCTCTCTCTCATTCTTTGTATCTCTTTCTTTTTTCTTTGCACGTGAAAAACCAAGCCCCACTGCCACTTTGAGCCGTCACCAAACGCTGACCACCCATGGAACCCGCCAACAAAAACCTTCAGAACTAGAAAGTAACGACCCTTCATGGGTCGTCACAGTTATCTTAACTTTCAAACATTTACTTCTTAAAAAAATACAGAAAATAGTTAAGCTTGAAACACTTTATTTTGAATGACTTGAAGAAATCATAATTTTTTTTTATATTATAACTTTAAATATTTTAAACCTCATCAAAGGAAAATAATCTTTAGGTTCAACTCATTTATTAAAATCCATACCGTAAAATAAACTTAAAAAAAGATCTTAAGTATTCTTCAAATTAAAACCACCATAAACCAAAGTTCCAATACAAAAATTTAACAACTTTGTTTAACATTAAACACTTTCATTCAATGATCGTTTCTCCCGTTTTCCTATCACGTACCGCTCGCATCTGCTCCTAGATAAAATTTAGATATTGTTAAGGTATTATTCCAAATTATTGATTCTATGAATAAAATTTAGAGATTGTTAGGGTATGATTCTGAAATATTGATTCTATGATTTTGAGTATAGGTTTTTATTAGACTCTATATTAGTCATAGTTGTTATTTAATTGTTTTGTTTTGTATCTTCTTAGAAAGCATGTTATAGAGGCTAGTGATTTTGGTAATTGAATTAATAATGGAATTAGTGGTTCTTGTACAACCTAGAAACATGCTAGGATTTATTGATGATCATTTATATGATTGGGTCATGTGATTCTTTTAATCGTCATTTTGTAGGTATAAGATGTATATATATGCACGTATTTATATTTCTTTAAGTATTAGAAACATGTTATAGGGCTGAATAATAAATGGTTTACTGTATATACATATTGAGGATGATAGTTTTGTATTTTATAGAATTTTTGGTGAATTTTTGTCCTAGTTTGAGTGCTAGAATTTTTCTAGGTTTCATATTTTGATTTTAAAATAATGTTTGAGGGAACAAACGAACTCCGTTTTTAACAAATAAGATGTCATTGGAAAGATCTTGATGTCTATTTTCATTTGGCACAAGCTTCAGGTCATTTTACATTTTCTATGATTTGTTATGAATTTTTAAAGAGATAAAGGTCAGGCTGTTAGTTTTGTAAGATTTGAAAATTTTGTCTAATTACTGGGATTTTTGTGTCTTGATGTTATTAAATGACGGAATTGGCCTTTTATGCACTATTTTAATATGATTGATGGATTTGATGAATTAATATTTTTTAATTTTATTATATTTATGATTTATGGCATGAACGGTTTTAGAAGTGAGCATCCGAGGACCTCATTTGTAACGTCACCGTTGGAAAATTTGAAAAGGTTAAGTAAGGCGTTTATGTAAGTACACTCTCACCTGCAACATGAATTGAAGAATTGAAAAGTATATGATTTTGATGTTAATGATGATGTTATGACACCTTTAATATTTCATATGATGACGTTTTAAAGAAAAATGTGTATATGTATTTTTATGTTTTTAAATGGCATTGTACACCCTTGATGGTGACCGGTGAGCGGTCTTATTACCATAGTTGGTATGAGATTTGCTACCCCATACTTTCCGTGGCTAGTGCGCTGTGATGGTACAACGTCGGGTCCAATATATGCTGGATTTTAAAGGTTAAACATGTTCAAAAATAATTGTTCTCATGATGACGTTTATTGTTGATGAATAAAAATGTTCATTTACATTTGTGAAAATTAAGTGTCTTACTAAGCCCTTTCTTATATAAGTTATTTCATGTTGCAGACAATCTAAAGGGTAAGATGTAGCCATGGAGAATCTTGGAGCAGATGCGAGCGGTGCGTGATAGGAAAACGGGAGAAACGATCATTGAATGAAAGTGCTTAATGTTAAACAAAGTTGTTAAATTTTTATTTTTATTGTTTTGGAGCTTTGGTTTATGGTGGTTTTCATTTGAAGAATACTTAAGATCTTTTTTTAAGTTTATTTTACGGTATGAATTTTAATAAATGAGTTGAATCTAAAGATTATTTTCTTTTGATGAGGTTTAAAATTTTTAAAGTTATAATATAAAAAAAAAATTAGGATTTCTTCAAGTCATTCAAAGTAAAGTGTTTCAAGCTTAACTATTTTCCACATTTTTTTTAGAGGTAAATGTTTATAAGTTAAGATAACTGTGACAGCCCGTGAGGGGTCATTACAGATTTGGTATCAGAGAGGTTTCCTATTTCCTATCATGTGTTGCCACGCATTTACTCTAAAATTCTCCAAGTAAGTAGTTATTTAATTTCTTTAGATGAAATGTAAACTTTTATGAGGTTATGTTTTCAAATTATAGAAATGTGGATCCTTATTCGATGTCTTGAAATAGAGAGTTTCCATATTAGTTAAAATTTAATTACTGACAGACGATAAAGATAAGATGGCATGCGGATGAGGACATGGAGCTCGTGGCCGTGGTAATGGACGTGGGCAAGGCAGAATTGTAGCTGCAGCAAAGCCCAATTTAGCAGAGGTGATGGCACAGTTGCGTGAAGGTCGTGGACAAGCTAAAGTTGCGACATCGACATGACTTAATTTGGTAGAAGTGGTAGCACGGTTACAAAGACAACTGTAAGAACAACAGGTGCTTATCAATCATTTGCATGCTAATGGGAACAGAGTCGAAGTTCCAGCTAATCCATCGGTTCCACAACCAGGGCAAC